GTGAGATAGCTGAGGCTAGTTGGCATTAGTCACTTCTGGATGGTTTGAGTGAAGTATCAGCTTTGTTGCTGTATTGCTGAAGCCCTGGTGCCAAATATGGAATACCAGGAAGAATTTCAGAGGTACTTGCTGCATAGTTGAAGTCTCTGGTTCGAGGATCTAATTAAATTGATTACCTAGATGTTCAGTCAGATAAAACTAGAACGCCTTGCAACAAATATAGCCTCAGGGAGACGACAACGTTCACGGTGTAGCCATGTGTCAACCATGTCAAAGCATGTACTTGACTGCCACGAATATTTTCCTTCCTACGTCATATAAGCGATGATCGCCTCTTCCTTTGTTTTATTACATCGTACTCACTTTCGAAAACTTGGCTACCTAGCTCGAGCTATGGTGGGCTGTCATATAGTAGTATTGCTTCTGCGGCAAATCGGAGCAACAGTTCGTCCCACGGTTAAGGTTGGGGTCCAGGGGGGTGGGGTTTGGTGCAGCAATAGCTGCAGGGTACACTTCCGACCTAGCAAAGCGTCTTTGAGGATCTAGGTATTGAATCCGTCACATGGTGTATGCATAGGCGATTCCAAACCCCCCCCCCCCACTGTTAGACCCGGATTGGCATGACTCAGGATGTAATTTGCTATGCGAGAGACCCGATCTCATCGCCCTGGCAAAACATGCAGTGACTCGCACGTGCACGCAGGCATGACGCAGACTGGCTCAGTGGGTCTAAAGGAAACACCAGCTGTTCTGGAAAGCCGGCGCTGCATACTGCAGCGACAAAATGCCGCATGTCAGCTAATACAGTTGCCTGATACTAGATCGATTCCGATCGCGGAGTGTGATCGTCTCTATGGGCTTCCATTCCTTCCAGACGTTCCAACCGATGCGAAAGCGAGTGACAGAGCATGGCAGAACCGCGTGGCCGACGGAGTGGCACCTTGGCTGGCAGGTCCAAGCTTTGGCCAAGGAAGCTTGCGCTCGGCGTGGATTGCCGAGGCGGGCAGCCCCGAGCCGTTGTTTACCCTCTTGGAAATCAGGGTGTCCGTGAGGGACATCATCTCCTATCAGTGCCTGGCTCATCCAAACTGCTACTTATCCACGTGTGTTCTGGGGATGACTCTACATTGGTGATTCCGTCCTCAGCACGAGGCAGCGGAGATACGAGGGATACTAGAAGAAGTGGGAAGACACCGGCAGCGACCCCGGAGATAAGCCCTTGCCGGGTGCATACCTACTTACTTACTAGTAGACTACACTAGTCGGTTAAGCTGCTGCCATTGACCAACGGCAATCTGTGCCTGTGTTCGTCCCGCCCGTCCCTTCTGCCAATGGGAGAGTTGGCCGAAACCACGCCTTTAGACTCCAGGGTATGATTCGGATCCCGTGAGTCCCATGGGAGGTGGAATTCAGCCCTGTTCCGTCGAGCTGGAGGTCTCCTCGCATTGGGATGCTGAGCACGTGGGCTCTTCTGTGAGTCTGTAACTGGTAGACATCACTCAGTCCTCGCTTTGCTACTTTCTAGCTCGCTCATCTTGACCCGTCTCCTGGCTCGCATGAGGCGACCAGCTCACAGATGCATGCTGGACCGCAATCTCCGATCGCCGGGTATAAAAGGTCTTCCAAACCCCTCTCGGTTGATATGTACCCCGCTCGTCATCTCCAATCCTCTCGAGAGCACCTTCTCCAGCTTCTGTCAATTGTACCTTCGCAATGCCTCGCACCTCTCTCCTCAGCCTGGCCTGTGCCCTGGCCACGGGCGCATCCGCTTTCTCCTACGGCGCTGCCATTCCTCAGTCGACCCAGGAGAAGCAGTTCTCTCAGGAATTCCGCGATGGCTACAGCATCCTGAAGCACTACGGTGGTAACGGACCCTACTCCGAGCGTGTGTCCTACGGTATCGCTCGCGATCCCCCGACCGGCTGCGAGGTCGATCAGGTCATCATGGTCAAGCGTCACGGAGAGCGCTACCCATCCCCTTCAGCCGGCAAGAGCATCGAAGAGGCCCTGGCCAAGGTCTACAGCATCAACACTACTGAATACAAGGGCGACCTGGCCTTCCTGAACGACTGGACCTACTACGTCCCTAATGAGTGCTACTACAACGCCGAGACCACCAGCGGTCCCTACGCCGGTCTGCTGGACGCGTACAACCATGGCAACGATTACAAGGCTCGCTACGGCCACCTCTGGAACGGCGAGACGGTCGTGCCCTTCTTTTCTAGTGGCTACGGACGTGTCATCGAGACGGCCCGCAAGTTCGGTGAGGGTTTCTTTGGCTACAACTACTCCACCAACGCTGCCCTCAACATCATCTCCGAGTCCGAGGTCATGGGCGCGGACAGCCTCACGCCCACCTGTGACACCGACAACGACCAGACCACCTGCGACAACCTGACCTACCAGCTGCCCCAGTTCAAGGTCGCTGCTGCCCGCCTAAACTCCCAGAACCCCGGCATGAACCTCACCGCATCTGATGTCTACAACCTGATGGGTATGTGATTACGGAACAATCATTGGCTCAAACATCCAGCTGACAGCATCCCAGTTATGGCCTCCTTTGAGCTCAATGCTCGTCCTTTCTCCAACTGGATCAACGCCTTTACCCAGGACGAATGGGTCAGCTTCGGCTACGTTGAGGATTTGAACTACTACTACTGCGCTGGGTGAGTTTACCAATTGATCGATTATTGTCTCGGATCAGCAACTAACGATCGACAGTCCCGGTGACAAGAACATGGCCGCTGTGGGTGCCGTCTACGCTAACGCCAGTCTTACCCTCCTGAACCAAGGACCCAAGGAAGCCGGCCCCTTGTTCTTCAACTTGTAAGTTCTCGGCAGAATCAAAGACTCACAAAAAGAACCTCTTCACTAACATATAGTAGTGCCCACGACACCAACATCACCCCCATCCTCGCCGCCCTAGGCGTCCTCATCCCCAACGAGGACCTGCCTCTTGACCGCGTCGCCTTCGGCAACCCCTACTCGATCGGCAACATCGTGCCCATGGGTGGCCATCTGACCATCGAGCGTCTCAGCTGCCAGGCCACCGCTCTCTCGGACGAGGGTACCTACGTGCGTCTGGTGCTGAACGAGGCCGTGCTCCCCTTCAACGACTGCACTTCCGGACCGGGCTACTCTTGCCCTCTGGCCAACTACACCTCCATCCTGAACAAGAATCTGCCCGACTACACGACCACCTGCAACGTGTCTGCGTCCTACCCGCAGTATCTGAGCTTCTGGTGGAACTACAACACCACGACGGAGCTGAACTACCGCTCTAGCCCTATTGGCTGCCAGGAGGGTGATGCTATGGACTAGATGCAGAGGGGTAGGATCGGGATACTTTAGTGATGATTGATATTTCAAGTTTGGGTGGTGGCGATCACCTTGTTAATAGTCTTGTACAGTCATGCGGTGAATGTAAATAATGATAATAGCAATGATACATACATATTGAACTTTCGTCATGATATTTGTGTGCATAGGCACTTTGGAGGGACAATCAGGCTTAGGTATATTTCAATCCGATGCATGGTGTGATCAATAAATCGACAATCAATTATTGGAATGCAATGCTGTATACAGGAAATTATTGAGGTAAGACGCAGCTACTAGCTGACTGACTGCTTGGAAGCTTTCTGTGTACACGGCAGGATTCCTCGGTAGTGACAAAACTGAATCGACCGGGTTCAACTTGGACCGTGCTTCCTGGACTCGCCATGTACTCTTTACGGTCGCATCTGCCTATTTGGTCTCAACGAAAGTGGTTTTCATGAATTAGCTGGTTCTCATGAGTAATTGGGCTTATTGGATGTGTTAAAAATGGATTCGCAATTGAAGTAGAGACTATACTACGTTCAACTTTGGTGGTTCATCCGAATGTTGCGTTAAAGTCACGGTGAGATTATATATCACCGCCACACGACTAGTAAATGACCCAAAGACGCAGTGTCTGAGTGCTACTACTAGTAGCACAATAGTTTCTTCAAGCGACCGGTGGTTTCTTCAAAATTATAGTATTATAGATGATAGCCATGTTCCTTACGTGCACGATTACAGCATACTCGCACTGTCATATGCTTCCCAGGGGTTGGCTGAAAAAGCATCGGATTGAGTATGTAGGGTACAGGTAAGTAACCTTTCTGCTACCTGTGTTCTAGCGCATCCACCTTACCAAGAATCCAAAGATGTACATAACAACCCAATAAATAGCCTTTCAGAACTCGTTTAATAATGTTCCTTGAAAAGTGATGTGCAGACGATGGAGCCTCGTAGGGGAGTGGGTATAAAAAGAAAAAACAAAAAATGCTTCCACGCGGATTCGAACCGCGGACCTCATGATTACTAGTCATGCGCTCTACCAACTGAGCCATAGAAGCTGGTTGATGTATAGAATAATAGCTGTTTGCTTTATGTGCAGCAAATACAGTAAGCAGCAGTTGTTGGCTGTCACAAAAGACGCTTTCTTATGCAGGTTCCCGGATTCACAGGACAACATCCACATCCACCTCCTGTCCAGTCTGACCAACTGTGTGTTACCAACTGCTTAACTGCAAGCTCGTCGACCCAATGGGTCAGTCCATTTGCTAATTCCTGCGTTGGGACTCACCATATCCAACAGCGTACTTCCCAGACCATCTCACCAGTTCACCACTTCAAACCAATTCCCCATCGTTCCTGACCTCCAGGCACTCCAACCTAGCAGCAACATACAAAGAATCCCACAAAGAATATAGTATCGATGACGTGAGATGTGAGATGTGCCCAACTGGACCTGACGAGGCTGAGGGATGGCGGAGCAGTGGATTCGGATCGTGCAGCCATTGGGGGCCACGGTAAGCCGCCACAGCTTCAGCCCCAGCAGTAGTCGACTACTAGTAGTAGTGTCGGACCCTGTCAGATCCAAATTGTCTGAGATATAAATAACCCCGAACAGATGACCTATCATCCTACTACCCCTTTAAGCCATCAAAACAGCCCTTCTCTCTCCATTGACACAAGACACTACAACGCATCATCACTACGATTCTGTCTCTGCACGAGAAATGTCCGACCATGATGTCCCCGCGTTCGATGTCTACTTCATCTTCCAGAAACAGGAGTTGAAGCTCGTCTTCAACTCGGCAACCCATGCAAATGCATACCAAGCCTCAAACCGCGAGGGTCGCATCTTCACCGCGGAGCCCACTGCTGTCTACCTCCCTTACTCCCCCACCATGACCTATCTCCGCGACAGCAGCAATGGTCTGGTGATTGGCTTCGCGACCACCGAAGACGCAGAGACATGGTGCCGCACCTCCATTCTCGGCCATATTTACTCGTCAGAACCATCACCCGAAGTTCGCATCAGACGCAACTGGACGGACGAAGAGCTGGATGAGGTGCTTCGCATCCAGTCCAACACGAATGTCTTCCGAAAAAGCGTCCCTTTCACCCTGCGACCTGCCATGCCACCAAGCATCACTCCCCCCGCAAGCACTTCCTCTTCCTCTACCACTACCTCGAGAGCCCCGAGTGGTCAGTTCGCACCGCCTCCGTGGGCACAGGTCTCGCTGAACCTGGATTCCGAATCTCCGCCCGCTACGATATTGACCCCGCCGAGTCAATATCAATTGCCGAGCACATACTCGCCAGTGTCGGATCAGCCGCCTAGAGGGAGTATCATAGCGTACCCCGGTCCACAGGCACCACGCGCGCACTCGTACGCCGCGCCTTCAGAAACAGGGAACGGGCCAGCGCAAAGGAAGCCTATCCCACAGGTCGACGAGCTTGGAGTCGCTCCCCTCCGACCTACACATATATCACCGAGAACGTCCAGCACGAGTCTTCATCGTGTATCAGTTCAGTAGACTTTAGGAAAAGGAAAATAACCGGGACGATTTACATAGCGATGGCGTTAATGTTGAAGGTATTGCAGTTTTGCATAATTCTTTTATGGTTGTGTTATTATAATAAAACAGTCGTTAAGAAGAAAAATAAGAGCTGATCAACTGTCTATCTGCCGTTCATCCTAGGTGCTGCAATAAAACGGAAGTTCTCTTTGCTGTAGCACCTCATTATCATGTTTGCGTCGTTGAACACAGCGCATCAAACATTATAGCCATCGGATCAGCATGATCAGACCCCGTGTAATTATTGGGTTCGATAGAGACCGTCCCCTTAATACTGACGATCCGGCCAAGCATCATACAAGCCCTCGGAAACAGTCACGTTGGAGAACGCGACACCACCCACACCATTATGGAAGAAGCTGATGTTAGTGGAATTGGCGTACCAGGAACTATCCTCACGTTAGCATCACCACTCTTCAATCATCAACTAGGAAGATACTCACCGAACCCAAGTACTCAATGCAAACCGACCATTGGCATAAACCTCCAAAACCGAGTTATCCACCACGAGAGTCAAGTCTAATGTCTCAATGGCCTGCTCTCCATCATTCAGCACATCAAACAAACGCAACTTGCCAGCCTCCGCACTGCTATCGATGCCATCAGTCGTGCGCGCCGCAGCACTAGTGTTACTGCGGTCGACGATGATCGACTCATTCGAGAACTGGTAGTACACGGTAGTACTTTCATGCTCCGACGAGAGGATCTGGAATCCACTCTTAAGTCCCCATCCTCGAGCAGACGCAGGGAAGGACAGCTGCGCGGAAAGAACGAAGAACTTCTCGGACGGCGAGCGCTTGAACGGAACAACACCGCTGCTGTTCAGGGTGCGGTCGGACTCAGTGAACGAAGTTCCCGACAGCAACGCGGCCTTGGTCTCTCTCGCGATAGAGATACCCAGCGTCTGCAGCTCGACGGTGCCCGCACTGCTATCGCTGCTCACGACCTGCCACGAGGCACCAGACTCCCGGGCCAGAGCATTGTCCACCACATTGGGAATATACAGCACGCGCAACTCACGCGGAAGCAGCAGCGTACCGGTCCAATTCTGCTGGTTCGTGGGGAATCCTTCGGCCTGTTCGAACAGATCACCGGACAGCCAGACGTACGAGATGAAGCGGTCCGGAGCGCCGCTCTTCGTGGAAGGCAGAGAAGTCGAGGGAAGAACCTTTCCGGCAGCAGCGTAAGAGGAGAAGCCCCAATCGAGGAAGCCGGCCATGTTGGGGGTGAACGAGACAGAGGCATTGCGGGAGACTGTACCGGACACCCAGAGCATGTCGTGGATGCTGGTGAGCTGGGGAACGACGGGCAGGTCAGAGCCCTCGGTGCCGATAGTGGTGAAAATCTGGCCGTGGGGGTTGTATCCGTACTCGTCGAGACTGAAGACGTTGCCGGTCTCGAAGTTGAAGGCCCAGCGGCCGGCCCAGGTGCCGTTACCCCAGGTGGAGTTGGTGGGTTCGTGCCACCATTGGCCGAGGTACTCCCAGTACTGGAAGTCTGAGTCGTACTGACGGTAGAGGAATTGGGCGGGGCCCTTTTCGTGCAGACCACCGGAGATGACGGTGTACCAGGTGTTGTTCTTGCTGTGGAGGAGGGAGTCGAGAGTGGGGTTTTGGAAGACGTAGGGGTCCCTGAATGCGGTGACGTTGTAGGCGAAAGGAGGGCCAGGGATGACGGGGCCCTGGTCGAGCTTGGTGAAGTTGCTGCCGCCGTCGGAGGAGACGGCGAGAGATTGGGTCTCACTGCCGCGGGTGTAGGGAATGGACCAGTGGATGGGGAGGAAGGAGACGGAGGTGTAGAGGAGGGTGGGGAGGCCGTTGATGCCGTTGGGGATGACGGAGCCGTCGAAGACAGCGACGGGGTCGTTGATGCCCCCGGGGACAATGACTTGGTTGCCTTGGTTGAGGTCCTGGTAGGTGGCTAGATCATCGGTGGTGGCACTGGAGATGCCGCTGCCATCGTGAAGGAAGCCGACGTGGAAGAGGCCCGTGGCGGGATCGGTGTAATGCAGGCAGGGATCACCGATCTGGCCATTGGGGGGCAGGACGTGGGCGCGGGGACGCCATGTTTCGAAGAGGGAGCCATTGGGCAAGGTGGAGAGGTTTGGAGGAGCGACATTGTAGTCGATGACAACGGAGGCCCGCGTCTGCATGGAAGGAGACGCAGCAGCAGCACTGCCGAGCAGTACGGAAGCCGTTTGAAGCTTCATGTCGAGGTATCGCAATGGAGGGGACACTCACTTCCCCTCCCTTGGCAGAGGGGAAAAAAGTGACACTTTATATGGCATGTTTTGTTTGATGCAGGGGTGCCGGGGAATTTCCGACAACTAGAACTAGAATGGTTGGAATGCTGGATGAATAGTCCGTATCCTCGGGGAAATTGAGGATTGCGGAGGAAGTCCGCTTAGGGTTCGCGCGGGGAGATTCAGCGTGGATTCCCCGAGATTTCCCCCGAGTTCCCGCAACGAGGTTATGATAGTGCCGATCTTCAAATGGGGACCCGCTGAGGTTCTGTTGACCTGATTGAACTTACTTGCTGGGTAGGTAAGTTAGCTCGTGGAGTGCTTTGGTTTAACCGTAAAGAGAAAGTGAGAGCCGGAGGTTTGTCGGTATGACGAGGTGGAGATCTAGTGGGAACGGCAGTGAAGAAGAGATGAAAAGTGGGCAGGATATAGGAAGAAAAGGTTTAACGACTCGTATAGGACACGAGTTGCTGCTTCAAGTATAATATTAGGGGTGTTTTGTGGAACGGTGTGAAGAGTCTTCATCGTGCAATGTGTGCCTTGGTCTGACTTGTCCGCACTGGCCCGTCACACTCGCAGCGATGATGACGGTTCAGAGATCTCTTGTCATCGGAGGGAGATAAGGCCCAGGCACCAAGGTACTCCTTGTTTAAAGCTCATTATCAATCAGTCTGGGCCGGAAGAGGGTCGGGAAGCTGATTGCCGACACGGCATATGGCGGAGACTGCGAGGTTTGTGACATCGGGTCAGGAAGGTCACAGAATAAGGATCAATATGCTCTGTGAGACGCGACTATCGACCATTACATGAATTAACCAATACTTATCAGTATCTCTTGTCGGGTTCCTGCTGCAATTGATGAAATCGGATATATGAAAGAAATAGACGCATTCAGTACGAAAGACAGAATCGGTTGGTGATATTGGGGGCAGACACGAGAACGCATCCTGGGTCATAAACCCTTGTGCACATTGAACAAGTAAGGGCGTTCCAGGTAATGTAGGACAAGTTGCAGTTGGTGGATTCATGACAAATGATATAGAGTAATGAAATATAGGGCGAGGACTGAATGTTGGGCAAGCACTGAATACATATGAGTCATTGCGAATTCTGCAACATTCGTTTGTTTTATCCTATACTACGCCGGCATATGCTGTCTCCCTACTTACCACAAGGAACTAGAGCCGAGGTTTCACTTGTACCTGGAAAGTAGAATAGGAATGGGCGGAGAAAAGAGCTACTCGGAGTTACACGACACAATTGTAGACATCATTTTCGGAAAAGCTGTGCTTCACAAAAGAACCTGAATTTATCTGATATTTATGCCTGAAGGGCTTTGTCATTAGAGAAATAGAAATATCTTTCATTTTTTTTTCTTTGCCGAAATGACGTCGTACCGTAAATATTTGATCCCCATAATACTCAAAATACCATGTCTAACAGCATGTCTCTCATAAATTTAGGCAACACCCCGTTGCCTGCTATTCGTGGTGTCCTCTATAATACTTCAAGTGTATAAAAAAGCATTTTCACGGTGTGGTGGCAGCAACTGACGGCGATCAGAACCATGCACAGATTAATTAGTCTTGAACGGGTCGAAGAAGCCGCCGAACACTACCAAATTTGTCAATAACAACGATTGATGTTAGATATATTATTCTGGTAATCGCTTAATAGTGGATTTAGCCTATGCTGAAAAGAACAGTTTTCCAATCGGAAAAGCTCATTTCCAGTGGGATCCAAAGAAACCCTTTCGAGACGCATTCTAGGGAGATCTAACAAAGCGAAATGAATTGGCCAAGCACAAGATAGCTAAAGGAAGACATGTAAGAAGGGCCAGCCGAAACCGCAGATTCTGACCAAGCTACAGCTGCAGCAGGCCTTCTTGAGGTCAGAGCATCAGCCCTACAGTAGTCTTCGCTAGATCTACCTTTCTGTTTCATTTAGGTAGCTTAGCCCTACGGCATACTTCAGTGTGCAGACAGTTGGAGATCATGATGTATAGAAACATTCAATGTTACGACTGAGAATTCAATTACTCAAAATGCTGCCTAGGACGGACTGTTGGTCAAAGGTCCTGTGCGAGTCTTCTACGATGATGCATCTACTATCGAGGTTGACGTGTCCCTAGAGCTTCTTGTGGATGAAAGATAAAGGATGCGTCATGACAACTTTGATGCATGGCAATTCCAAACGTGTCCAAGCGTTCCCTGAAGTTCCTAACTATGATTGGCTACCATGACCTAAAACTCTATGCAGCCTTCTATTGGCGAGTCCCAGTGTGATGCTACAAGGATTGGCTCGATCGATGTCTCTGACATGTCCCAATACAATTGGTCGGTTGGTTGCAGGGTTATGTAGGTCCAACAGGCGATCTGTGCTTACAAGGCTAGCAGGTGGAATGTTTTGTGACAGGTACAGTCGGCTTTTCTCACATGATTCTATTTGTACGATAGAGGGCTATCCCTTGACCGGCTGGCAGCTTGATAGACGCGTTTGGCATATCTAGCTTGTTCGACGGCAGAAGGTCACTCCTTATGCAATGTGCTGCATGGTCGTGAGAGCGTGTCTAACGGAAAGTATTGGCTTGGAGAGCGGTGATCACTCTGGCGGTCTCCTGTCACAGATTTCGTGTTGGGCTGGTGTCATGAAAGAACCAGAATCCCACTAGTGATCCTATGCGCACACTAGCAGCGCACTAGATCCTAGTAATGGAAGGGATCCTGGTCAAAGTCGAAGATCTGGCGACCAGGATCCAAGATATTGGAATCGTGT